TACCAGTGGGGCAGACCATGCCCAGCCCAGTCCTGGCTGGCTCTGGGTGTTCAGAGAATGCAGGGTGCGGGGTGATCTGTCATCGTCTGTGAGCAGATCAGATAAAGGGGCAAGGGTTGCCAGAGTTTCCTGCCCATCTGGACTTCTCAGAAGCCTCTGAGAAGGTTCTATCCAAAGGTTCCTAGCAGGTGAAGCCGTTCTGGAACGAGGCTTCTCGGGAGCTATGGTGCAGCGAGACCTGCCTCCCCGGGGCTCCTTCGGGGCGCGGATGTGCGGAGCATTTCTGAATGGACAGATGGAGACCACCGAACTCACACTGGCTTGGGGCCAGGCCTCGGCTTATCTAAAATCATTACAAGTGATCTGGGAGAAGGGTTGTCCAATCACATCTCCATGTTTGCAGATGATGCTAAACTTCTGCAGGTATTGAAGGATCTCATGGGGTCACTTTGATGGGTAGATGAGTGGCAGATGGCTCCTGGTGGTGGAGAGCAAGGCAGCAGCTGGGGAAGGGTTAAATAAATTGCCCATGGAGGCCTTGGTGACCCGGAGGACCCCAGTGGTTCACGGAGGCTCCTGGTCCAGAGTTGCCAGGACCAGCACAGGCCCCGTTTGGCAAGGTGGGCATGACCTGGGTCTTGGAAAGGAAATGACGAAGGCTGCCTTTATCACAGAGCTGATCTGCAATGGCGAGAGTGGGGTCTGTAGGCGTGGGCAGCCTCAAGCAGGGAGGACCTCTCTGTCCAGCAAGACAAAGGCTAAAAGGAAATGCGATTCACATCTTTTGGATCCCAAAGTGCTTTTCCCTCCAGCTCCCCAAATCCTAAGAATGAGGGTGTCCCTGCACCCTGGAGCTCAGGGAGGTCATGCTACCACAAATCAACTACGTGGAGGGACACTAAATGTGTTGCTAAGGGAAACAGGGCTGAAACGTATCAAGAGGTTTTTTTGTTTTGTTTTTTAAACTGGTGGCATTAGTTCCTGGGTGGCTGATCCATAAGGAGTTGGGAAAGGAGATCAGGAGGTGGGAGAGTTTGGGGGTTGACCCGAACCCAGGTGTCACCATGATACTTGGTGCCCCGCAGGGAGGGATCCAGGCTGGAAGTGTCGGCTGGGTGCTGTGTCCACCCATCCATCTCGTGCTTGCTAGGGTTTTGCCGAGATGCAGGCTGGTGCCCTGCGGTTGGCGGAGTCTGAGCTTGGATGAGATTGTTGGTCTGTGTCCTGTGTGTCTTCTGCTCTCACCTTGAACTAATTTTTGATTTATTAGAGATCACCACAAGAGTTGCTCCGACGAGCCTTGGGACAAGAAGCCATGGATCTTTTCCAGAGACAAAGAGAACTCCTAGCAAGCAGAGCCAGAGGCCAAGGCCACCCATGTGCCTGGTGGTCAGGATTCAGAGGGCTGCAGACCCTGCTCCTCTGACCTCCCTCCCTCCCAATCCACGGGGTACACCAGCCTCAAAGGGACCTGCCTCTCATGTCCTCTCCTGTCTCTCCCACTCTCTCCAAGGACATGTACCCCAAGCCTGCTCCTGGGACAGATCTGTGCCCCATTAGGCAGTGAATCAGCCCCATCTGATGACAATGGCACCAGTCATCCAGGAGTCTCCGAGGGCCGATGTGCTCTGAGCCTTCCTGTCCATCTGCTCGCCATAGCTGCTCTGGAGGAGGCTGGGCATGTGGCACCACCCGCTGCACAGAGAAGTGCCACGTGATCTGCTAATGGCCTCGTGGTTGATGGGAGGCAGAGCTAGATGAGGCTCAAATGCATTTGGCGTTCTTTTGACAAAAGTACTGAAATTTTCTTTAGGGAAATAATCATTTCTGCCACTCAGTCTAGGGGTGGCCCATGTGTCTCGGGCTGGCCACTCAGAGCCTGGCTTTCTCTGGGCCATGGTGATTGCTCAGGGACAGAACCCCTGGGAGTAATCAGAGCTGGTCCTTGGTGTTTTGCCGGAGCCACAGGAGGACACGGATGGCCGCCAACTGAAAATGGAAGTGCAGGGACAAAGTGACCTGGAGGATCCCTAAGCTTCCTCCTGGTTTTATGGATCTTTAGAAGAAAAGGCCTGTGGTTTGCAGTTGGACAAACAGAGCCAAGAGAAGCTCTGACTTGCCCCATGTCACCCAGTGGACAGGGAGAAGATGATGACAGGGAGCCCACCAACCCTCTCCTGGCCTCCTACCTCCCCACCTCTGATGTTCAGAACCGCCCAGCAGCCATGGCTGCTCTTGCCTTGCTTTGTAGAGAGGCGATGGAGCAGGGCAGAGCTGGCTGTTGCTTGCCAAAGTGACACTGGGAACAAGGCTGGCTTCCCCGACGCTGGCCTCCTCACAGCCTCAGCTGAGAACAGGCCCCCGGTGGGAGGTCGATGGGGGGCTGGACGGGCCCTGGCCTCCTCCTGGTGGGCAGGTATTCTAAGCTGGGAGTCTAGGAGACTGGGACCTAGCAACCCACTGCTCTGGGGGAGCCCTTGGGGAGCCCCTCCACTAAATCCTGTTGAAGACAGGAACCCCAAGCTCTCGCTTGACTGACAAATGGGCCCACTGCGAGGCGGCGAGGATGGATGGAGCCCGGCCATCAGGCAGCTGTAGGAGTTTCATGCTCTGGTAACTGTAACAGTGAGGTTCCAGCAATTGTTTTGGAGGGAATCATGATTACATTGGGCTGTATGTTTTTTTAATGTGTTCCCCAGTTCCCCTTTAATACCTTGGTAGGACGAGATAAATTGTAATCACTGAAGTCATTGTGGCCCTCAACAGTGACGTCTTGAAAGAGTGACTTGGGGTTAACAAAGCCTCTGCAGGGCAAGGTTTGGATTAGAAAATACAGTTTTTCTTTTTGTTATTTTCTTTTTAAATCCCTCTTTATCTTCTTCCTTTCTCCGGTGGCTCCTGGAGCTCGCTGATAACCTGGAGGCCTCCTTGGGTAATAACGGGGACCCGCTGTGTTAAGGACACAGGCGAATCTGGGGCCACCCTCTGCAGAGCCGCTGCGGCAGGCCCGCCCCTCCCCAGAGCCTGCACCTGCAGGCCACGCCAGCTTGTCCCTCAGCCAGGGGCCTCGATGGCCTGAATACCAACATAGATTCAGGTGCCATCTTCGCTGCCAAGTCCTGAAACCACAGGCAGGGGCCCAGCCAAGGGGGCTACCCTAACCCGCCCTCCGCAACAGCAGAGTGAGCCCCTCAATCCTCGCACGACCTCTGCCTTGCAATGTCCCTTTCCTGGTGGATGCTGAGGCCACCACTGGGACGGGTGTCTGGCCTGCAGGGAGCTGATGACCCTGTTGGAGCCACCGTCTTCGATGGTGTGATACAAAGAACTGGCCTCTCCAGCTGCCTTGGGGCATCTGCAGGCATCACCTTGAGACCAACACCTGCATCTGCCAGCAGGGGCAGCACCGAGCCACAGAGCCCCCAGCTGGCCACGACTCCAGGGTGCTGCTAATGCCCGCAGAGCCCAGGGAAGGGAAGAGGTAGCAAGGGGACAGCAAGGAGTTTTCTCTCAGTCTCTGAGGCTACTGCCCAGTCTGGCCCACACTGCCTTGTCCCCGGGCCCTGGCCTCAGCCTCCTGACTGGTTCCTACTGGACTCTCGGAGTCGTCTTCCAAGTCCCAGCTTGGCTGGTGCCGTCCATTGCTGACCTCCAAGGCTCTAATTTCCTGTGAACACAACGCCACTCCTGACACCAACGGCCTCCCAAGTCAGATCAATACGCTGTCCGTCTACACCTCCCCCATGCTCTCTCACATCCCCCGTCTCCAAAATCAGGACCACTTGGCGGCTCTGCCACAGCTTTGCCCACTCTGCTCCCAAGGCCTGGAATCCCTCCATGTTCCACCTACTTCCCACCCAGCTCCAACACACACACATACACACACACACACACACACACACACACACACACACACACGCACTGTCCTCGCAGCCCTCCTCCTTCTCCCAACCAATGAGAAGTGCCTTCGCCCAGAGGCCAAAGAGGCCCCTGCAGCCGGTTCAGCAATGGCAAGCCCTGGCTTTTCTCCCTTTGGGCTGCGGCCCATCTCCCTCCTCCAGACCCCGGCTTCCTGAGAGCAGAGTCTCAGTCAGAAGGAAGCTCACTGCCTGTAGGCAGGTGTCTACCCCTGCCCTGGGGCAGTGGTGAATGGACTGTTCAGCCTGGACCACTTGCAGGGAGGCCCTGTGCTGGGGCTGGATGCCGTGTTAGGAGAAGAGCAAGCGCACCCGCCAGTGGGAGGCACCTACTCTCCCTGTCCACCCACCTCCTCAGCCCACCTCCTCCCCCATTGCTGGGCGGGGTGAATGGAGCTGCAGGGCCTTCTGGGTACTTCAGCGAGTTGAGTTTCCTGGGGTTCCCCTTTTAACCTAATTTCTGCTGCTTTCTTCTGTGGGAGCAGGGGCCTACCAGGATGATTCCTGTCATACAAAACTCCACTCTTCATCTTGGCCCTTGAAATTTTTTACTAAACCACGGTGGCTGGTGGCTGGTGGCTGGTACATGGCGGGTGGCAGATAGCATTAAGCTCTGCCAGGGTCTCGGAATCTCACAGCAGAATTCTGGGTTACTATCACTAATTGATCATCACTGGGGTGAGAGAACAAAACACGGTCATCATGTCAGCATGCGTGTGCACACACACACACACACACACACACACACACACACACACACACACCCTCTTGGCTAGGAGACCCACAGCTCTCTCCCCTGTTTGTTTTTAAGTTTCACCGCGGCTGCCTTGAAGCTGAGGAAACAGACGCTGGGCTGAGGGCCTTGGCACCAGCCCAGGGTAACTGGGACACCCATGTTTGCAAAGAAAGCATTTGTGAAGTGTGAAGAAATCCGAACAGTGCTGTTCAAAAACTGTGTTTGAATTTCACTCAAAATGTTCTATTTTGTGTAGGGGGTAGAGTCCCTTTGGAAAAAACACTTGCTGGTATTCGCAAACCTCTGTTGCTATGGAGCTGTTAAGACGTTAGCTACCCAGGATGGCCATTAATTCTGGTGGTCATAGGTAAATCGGGCCAGCAGCTCCTTTGGAGAGAGCTGATGGGAAAGGGGTACTTACAGGGAAAGCTGAAAAGTGCCATCAGGGGGAGGGGGTCAGGCGACTTCCCTAGCTGTCCCTGGGCTTCCCTTGCCGTCCGGGAGACGGGGCAACGTGCTGGGAGATGCTTTGGCTGACCGGAGAGGGCACTGGGGGCTCCCAGCTCACCTAGTTGCCAGTGGGCTGCCCTGGGTGTAATTCTCAGTGGCTTAGAGGCCGTTTTCTCCTCCACGGATGGCACATGCGGTTCACTCCCCCACGTGTCCCTTCACTCATTCACTGGTCTATTCAGCAGGTGTCTCAAGAGCCAGGACATGCGGAGGACTGGCCCAGGATCCAGGTCTGCAGTGATGAGGACTGAGTCTCTCCCTCAGAGACAAACTGATGAAGAAGCTGATGGTTCTGGATACTGTGAGATGCCAGGAGCATTAAGACAGGTTGATGGAGATGAAGGGTGCAGAGGGGTCAGGATGAATTCAGGTGGCCCTGGGAGGCCTCTGGGGAGGGGACCTGGAGTGGAGTCTGGAATGAGAGGGAAAAGCCAGCTTTGGGGAGACTTGGGAGGAAAGTGCAGGCACAGGGAACTGGGATAAAGATCTGAGGACAGACCCAGGCCATCACAAAATGGCCAGGTGAGCAGGGGGCAGGGCTGATAAGGGCCAGTGTCCAAGATGGTGGCTCTGCGTCTATCTTGGGGGCTGGGTTCTTATTTGTTGAATAAGTGAAACGGTCCAGGGACACGTCAATGTTGAATGAGCTGCCACATTGTACTAAAGATTCATTCTCTCCTTGGAAGGAAAACCTCCCCACGTTGAGATTCAATCACCAGGAAGGGCCCACACCTCCGCCAAGAAGCACAAGACCCACCGGTTAGGGAGGAAGTCACCCGAGTTTCCATGTTTAAGGCTTGTTCTGAAAGAACAATCTGTTTTGTTGGCTATTTGTTGAATGAAGGCTTAAAGGATGTGTTCTGATGAAGTCGGCTGCTTTCAGTAGCAGATCCTAATTTTGGAATTAAAATAAGAAACAGTACACCAATCTGTTATCTCGCCTGCAGCCAGATGACGGAAAGCACTTGGACACGAAGCCAGACCTTGGCTCCAATCTCACCTGGGCCACTTTAAAGGCCGTGTGATCTCGGGCAAGTGACTTAATGCCTCTTGGCCTCTTCTCCTCAATAGCACAAGGGACCATCATGTCACAGGGTCATTGCAGGATTAAGAGAGAGAATATGGCGGGTGCCCCACACAGTTCCCATTGATTAAGGAGTTAAAGAACATGCCAACCTCTCCCCCAGCTCTTCCCACAACCTCCGGGGCCACGACATGAAAGGTCAAGTCCAGTTCTACCGTGCCCGATTTTGGTTTGCCTTTAGAGGTCTAGACCCAAGTTTGGTGGTGACTACAAAAGTCACACGAGGTCACCCAGGGGAGACTCCCGGCCCTGTCCTTGGCACCTTTACTCTGGAGGCACAGGGGAGCCAAAACCCGGCAGAGATGACTTGGTGCCCCGAATTTTGCAACTGACCGTGGCCAATTGAAAATCAAAGTGACCTTCTCAGAAGAGATGGTCCCCAGCCCTTCCCCGCCCACGGTGCACACAGACTTCTCCATCCTTCTCAGCACTGCGCTTGGCATGCCCATCCCCCTCTCCCCCTCATTTGAATGCGTGCCCGAGATGGAGTGTGTCCAGCGGTCTGCTGGGCAGAGCCACCGACAGGAAATTAATTTTTTCGTTTCTTATGAGCTTAGGGGAGTCTCTCTGTGGTGCGGGGCTGCAGGATAAGGTTCACCGGGGCTCCCAGCAGTTTTGATATTGGAGGTGGGTGCTGAAGCCTCCCTCGTCTCCTTCTCAGGCTCACACCCGGCTTAGCAAGTGTCTCCGCAGCCAGCGGAAAATTCCTGGCACCTGGGGCTGCAGCTCCTGGTGAAAATTCTGTGGATGCCGACAGGTGACAGGGACAAGATAAAAAAAAAAAAAAAAGGTGGCTGTGGACTGTCACTGTGAAGTGGAAGGGCTTCAGGGCTCCTGGCGTCCACTGAGGGGACCCGCCCAGCGTTCTTGATGCTCTGGGACCAGCAGCTCCTGTCCTAGGGTAGCTTCCCTCTAGTCACCCTGGGAGGGGGGCTCCTGGCCTTGCTCCATCCCTGTCCCCCTTCCTCCTGGGCTACAGCCCCCAGTCAGGACCCTGGCCTCTCTCCACTCCTGGTCCCTGCCCTTCCCATCCATAGAGGGAATTTTGACCCTCCGGCTTTCCCTGGTTCTCTCTCTCCTAGCTCCACCTTCTGCACTCCGTCTGTCCTGCACCTGTCCTCAGGGTTGCCTCCTCTGACGCCTCTTCCCAGCTGCTCTTGTCAAAGGATCATTGGGCTTCATCTGAACTGTCTGTCAGGTTCCGCTTCTCAGAGTGAAGCCTTTGCCTCTCTCTGACCTCCTCCTGAATTGAGCTGGTTCCCCAGCTAAGAATCAGCGGATCTCAGCCCTGGCCAAGGCTGGGCTCTCAATCATACCTTATCTGTTCAGCCCCAGGCCTTTCCCCACCTCTCTCCCCCAGTCTCCTCCCTCCTTTCTACCCACATCTTTGGGACACCCGCTCTGTGAGTGCTGGTGTAGGCACTGGAAGGCTAAGCCTGGCCCCACACTCCAAGTGCAGTCTGTCTCCCGGGGAGACGTCGTCCTGTGAGAGAAGCAGGGAGAGGGGTGCAGGGCAAGGCCTGGCTCTTTTTCCTCCAACTTCTGATCACATCTAGTTGGTGAGCCATCCTCCCCCATCCCCTCCCTCAGGGAGAAAGGCATCAAGGGAAATCCTGGAGGCAAGCCAGGCTGCAACAAGGTTTCTCAACATCACGCCTATAGAGACTTGCAGCTGGATGATCCCCGTTGTGGAGGGCTGTGCGTTGTAGCATCCTAGAGCATCTGTGGCCTCTACTGCCAAATGCCAGTGGCATCCTCAAATGGTGACAACAGAAAACACCTCCACAAATTGCCAAACATCTCCTGTGGAGTGAACTTGTCTCTGAGAATTCCACAGTGGCCCCAGATCCTGCTCGTTCTCCTGGTAACATATTGTTCAACTTTCAGGACTCAAGCAATGGGAAAGAGTAAGATGGTCCTTAGACCTTGCAGGGCTGGGTTAATTCGGGGGTCCGTTTTCTTGCTACTTCTGGGCTCCTGCACACAATTTCTTTGAATGTGTTCAGGTTAATCATCGTGCTCTGTGGCGTTTTGCAGGATGATTTTGTGCTGTCTGTGCAGCCTGTGTTCCCCACCAAACCCATTCCTCCCTGTGTGGCCACCGGCCTTGGGGCAGGGTGAGTGAGCCTGATTGGGCAGGGGTCCCGCTCACACGGGTCGCTCAGAAGTGAGTATGTGACCTGGTTCTGGCTAGGAAGGCAAGAGAAGTGTTCAGGCTTCCAGGAGAGGGTTCTTCCACTGGCAGGGGCTCAGGATGTCCCATCCCTTCCCTCCTGGGACACTGACATGCATAATGGGACCTGAGCCTGCTGCAGTCACCTGGCTCTCAGCAGGAGCTTGAAGCCACCCCGATGATGGCAGAACAGAGTTGGAAAAAAAAAAAAGTTGGGACCTTGGGGACATGGCCCAGCCTCTGCATCCACGGCAGTCTGCAGCTCTCTGTGCAGGAGACATGGCCAATTCCATGTTGCTGACATTGGGCTGAGCTGGGTTTTCCCTCCCTAGAGCAGGAACTCGGCCACGGCATTGTTCAGCAGTGATGGCGGAGGGCAGAGGGCGAGAAGGTGGATGACAGTGTACCTCCTAACCGCTGGACCTCACAGTCACCGCTTCTGGCTTTCCTGCCTCATACAGGGTCAGCTAGGAAGCTGGCTGCCCTGGCAGGGAGCAGCACAGGCCCGCTGTGTCCTGGCCCTGGATTCCTCAACATTTCTGTTTGGGATGCAAATTTCCTGATCAAATTTAAACGAATCCCTCATTTCCCTTGCCTTTCTCTAGCCCAACATCAGTGGGAAATACTCTAAAAGCCAGGTGTGGGTAGCGCACCCCTGTAATCCCAATGGCTCGGGAAGCTGAGACAGGAGAATCACGAGTTCAAATCCAGCCTCAGCAAAGGCAAAGCGCTAAGCAACTCAGTGAGACCCTGTCTGCAAATAAAATACACAATAGGGCTGGGATGTGGCTCAGTGGCTGAGTGCCCTTGAATTCAGTCCCCCACTCCCACCACAAAAAAAAAAAGAAAGAAAGAAAGGAAATACTCTTTAAAAAATTCTTTTCCTGGAAAAAATGGATGACTTTAGAGTCATTGCAACTCAAATAACATAACAGTTTTCAAACTGCCACTTGAAATTGAGCTGAGCTAACCTAATTCAATGTCAAAGGAACAGGGATGTATTTTAATTCTCTCATTCTCATAATGGGAGAGGAAACTGGGTCCATGGGAGGTAAACCCCCTAATCCACAAGGTTTCAATGTAAATGACAACGCTCAGCTGGAGCTGACGAGGAGAGGGGCGTTTGGTCCTGTTTGATGGTGCTTCCTGATGTGTGGCCTTTTACTGTCGTCATAAAAGGCAGTAAATTAAGAAAGCACTGCAAAACACCAGCAGAACTGGCTGGGATCAACCACAGGAGCCACATTTCCAGCCAGAATCCTGAAAATGAGGGAGACGTAAATGGCCTCAAGTTAGTCTTTGGAGCTGAGGCTTCTGGCTGGGGAGAAATCAGATGTTTCTTGTAAATGTGCAGAGTTGCATGAAAAGAGAAGGCCCAGAACTGGGAGAAGAGGGCCCTCCACTCCTGGACGGTGGCCCCTTCCCCCAGGAGATCTGCTGAGGCTTGTCCTAGGGTGGAATCTGGTCTGGCTTCGGAGGTCACATCGTCCCATTAACCATGAGCTAACATTTTCCTGAGTCCTATGTGCCGGCCCTGGGGTTGTGGAGATGGCACAGGAGAGAGTCCCTGTCCTCAGGGCCTAGGTGGACAAGACGGATGGTGTGGTGATCTAGCAGTCTGGTATGGTCAGACCCTCCGAGGTGACCCTGAAGGGTGGTGGTAAGGACCCTGCTGCTGCTGGAGGAATGCCCAGCTGCCATGGGAGGACTTGGAAACAGACCCAAGTCCACCTGAACGCCTATGGTGTGCATGGAGCAGGGCTGAGTTCCTGCCTAAACAGTGCTAAGAAGAGCTGGTGTCCACCCGTGCCAGGCCCTGGACTGTACCCTCTAAGTGGCTCCCTGCATTCATTTTTCCCTAGGACCTTATTACAACCAGCTCCACTGGAGAGCTGAGAAAGGGGCCTGGAGAAGTGAGGGAACCTGCTAATGGTGACTGTTTCATTTTATATGTGCTGGCATTTGAACTTGGAATAATCTCCTTGTGCTCTGAGCTGGGCTTTGTCACTGGATGCATGAATGGTTGATTTCTGACTCTACATCAATCATTATTTGGGACTGGAGAGTAAATTCTTGGGAGGAACATGAATCCTAGGTTTCTGGTGTGTGACCAGGGTCCTCAGGGTGACCTACCATTGAGACATTTACAATCTCTCTGTGTCCTCTCTTGGGTGTCTAAATGTCAGATTAGCAGGAAAAGATGCCACTCTGAGATGTGAGTCCTCTGCCAGCTTTGAGGCCTCATTTACTTTGTTGATGTAAAGCGGTGCCCCATTATCTGTGGGCATATGTTCCAAGACCCCCGTTGATGCCAGAAACTGCAGATCATACCACAGCGCCCCAGACATTCTATGTTTCCCCTATGCCACTTGGTACCAAAGCTCATTGGTTCTTCCATGTTTTTTGCCCCGATACCTCCTTTGCCTCACTACTCCAGCACGTCGGGGCCGTTACCAAGTAAAACAAGGATTATCTGAACACAAGCCCTGTGATGCCGAGAAAAGGTGGCTACTGAGTGACCAACAGGCTTGCATCACACGCTGCGCTGGGCAAGGGGGTGATTCACAGGATAGCTCACGATTTCATCACAACACTCGGA